TCATAGAAAACCTTCCAAATTCTTTATAATGTGGTTTACTTTTGTAATAAAAAAGAATTTTGCAAGAGTTAGAAGGCATAGTCCCTAACTCTGTTCTCACCTCTGACACCATCTTCAAAAGTTTAGTCATGATGTACCTTCAGAACAGCAGACAAATAAAAAATAAAGTTTAGTGAACTGTAAATTACAGGGAACTCTCCCCAGGACTGCCTCACTTTTGGCACCAATTACAAGTTCAGTGGGTTCCCAAAACTACTCAGGTTCAGTGATTCACAGGAATGACTCACAGAACTCTCTTAAAGCTGTTATAGTCATGATTATGGTTTATTACAGGGAATGAATACAATTTAAGCCAAGGGAAGAGACACATAGGGCAGAGTACAAGAGGGACTGACATCTGTAGTCTCCAGTCCTCCAGAGACCAAACTAATAATGGAGTCACCCAAAGCCCGCATCATAAGTCACATTGTTAACAGTCTGCAGGTCAGAGCCCCCAGGCAGAGAGTGACTTTTTACCAAGCATGAAATCCAAGGGGCAAAAAGGCTAGATCTCTATTTGGATGAGGTTATTCTTCACTACACAGATTTTTATTCCATAACAAATTCTAAGGGACAAGAACCTTAATAAAAATACACGGCAATACCAAAATACATGAAGAAAACAAGGATAGATTTATCAGAATTCCGGAGTGTGTACAATGTGAAGGAATTTTCCAGTTGGCATATTCTTTTTTTGTTTTAATTTCATATTTTGTCAGCTTGGCACGGTGGCTTACGCCTATAATCCCAGCACTTTGGGAGGCCAAGGTGGGCAGATCATGAGGTCAGGAGTTCGAGACCAGCCTGACCAACATGGTGAAACCCTGTCAATATCAAAATTACAGAAATTACCTGGGCATGGAGGCGTGCGCCTATAATCCCAGCTACTCAGGAGGCTGAGGCAGGGGAATCTCTTGAACCCAAGAGGGGGAGGTTGTAGTGAGCCAAGATTGTGCCAATACACTCCAGCCTTGGCAACAGAGTGAGGCTCTGTCTCAAAAAGAAAAAAAAAAAAAACTGTATTTTATCTTTTCTTTATTGTATAAGTTCTTTGAAATTAAAAGTTAGCAATTTTTAAATGTTTAAAATATTCTTTTCTAGTTCGTATGTGTATAATTTTTACTGTGCAAGTTTTAGCATTTTTCTGTAGTTCATCCATCTTTTTCTTAAACTTTAGGTGTATGTAAGAATCATTTGGGAAGGAAATAAAAAATTCAGGTTTCTTCACTCCATTCCAGAGACTGATTGACTATGTCTTGGGCAGGTCCAGGAAGCTGCCTTTTTTTTTTTTTCCCTAAAGGCAGGGTCTTGCTGTTGCCTAGGCTGGAGTGCAGTAACGTGATCATAGCTCACTGCAGCCTTGAACTCCTGGACTCCATCTGTCTTCATGCCTCAGTCTCTTGAGTAGCTGAGACTACAGGAATACACCACCACACCTGGCTAGTTTTTCATTTTTTGTAGAAACAGTGTCTCCTCATGTTGTCCAAGGTGATCTTGAACTCCTGGGCTCAAGTGATCCTCCTGCCTCAGCCTCCCAAAGTGCTGGGATTACAGGCGGTGTGAGCCACTGCCCCCAGCCTCCTTTGTGCTTTCAGTTTCGTGGAATACCTCTGAGAATACTATGAAGGAGATTTTTGCTAGCGTCACTTCTTCTGGTATATCTTTATGCTCTCAAAATCATTTTCCACATTTATGCATTAAGTTTGCATTTTCACTTCTTTATGTCACTAAGTTTATGCGTGTTTCTGAGTTCCTAGCTGCATATTTGGGGTCTCTCCAACAGCAGCATTGTCAGCATTCCCACAATTGGTTCTTCTGTGTACTTTTTTTTTTTTTGAGACGGCGTCTCGCACTGTCACCCATGCTGGAGTGCAATGGTGCAATCTCAGCTCACTGCAACCTCCACCTCCCAGGTTCAAGCGATTCTCCTGCCTCAGCCTCCTGAGTAGCTGGGATAACAGGCGCCTGCCACCACGCCCAGCTAATTTTTTATATTTTTATTAGAGATGAGGTTTCACTATGTTGGCCAAGCTGATCTTGAACTCCTGACTTAATGATCTGCACGACTGAGCCTCCCAAAGTGCTGGGATTACAGGCATGAGCCCCCATGCCCAGCCTCTTCTCTGTACTTTTGATTTGAATTTCATTTCCAGGGTTATGTCTTTTGTGTTTGACTTCTTTCTTTTAGCATAATATTTCCAAGATTCCTGCATATTGCAGCATGTATCTGGAAAACACGGGTTCCATGAAAACCCATGTTTTCATTCCTTTTTATTGTGTGGATATAAGACTGTAGTGGTTTTTATAATTAGTATCATCTGGGATTTGTTTTGAAGTTTAAGAAGTCAGGTATTTTTCGTTTGAAAATGTAATACACAATTTGTTTTTTAAAATTTCAAGCAGCCAGTCGCGGTGTCTCAGACCTGTAATCTGAGCATTTTGGGAGACTGAGGTGGGAAGACTGATTGAGCCCAGGAGACCGAGGCTGCAGTGAGCCATGTTCACACCACTGCACTCCAGCCTGGGCAACAGGGCGAGACCCTGTCTCAAAAAAAAATATTGCAGGCACCTCAGAAAAGTAGAAAAGAAAGCAAATGCACTCCACCCACCTTCCCTATCCACTGCCCTCCTACCTCCCAGACAACCATTATTACGTTTCTGTATATAATCTCCTCGGCCATGTTCTTCATATGCAAAAAAAACGTGGGGTGTGGAATGTTCGTGGTGTATTAGGAACTGTCTGTGGAATAAACTTGGCTTCTGATAAAATTATTGTTTAATTTGTGATCTCAGGAAAAGAAACTGAAGGGTATAAAGGCCTTAAGATTACACAATTAGATTAAAACTGAAAATCCCATGTTTTCTGGAAGACTTCAGTGCATATAATCTCATTCTAATTAATTACAGGCAAGGAGAAGAAAGTATGGGCTATATTGTCATAACTCTTGGGAATCTTACCAGGCTATAAGCAGAAAGGGCATCTGTAGAAGAAAATGTAGTAGACTAGAAACAAAAGAAAAGCTGGAGAACCAAGCATGAACACTTTGCAGAAATTAAGGGAAGCTATAGAGATACAGTCAAAATTATACCTTAGAAATATTTTAGAACACTGGAGAGAACACTTCTGTTGGAATAGAACTTGTCATTGTCCCTCCTGTTTAGAGTTGCTTCAGATTAAAAGTCTGTGCTGGGTGCATCCAGTTGGCACAAAGTAATCTGGGGCTAGAGTAACTGTGTGATTCCTATAGTGTATATACAAACTATTGTATATTTTGAAAATCACTACGGGTTGAGTATCCCTCAGCTTAGTGTTAAAGTCTATTGACAAAAATGCACAGCAGCAGGAGCATACAGTGAAACTCAAAATTCAAGTTTTCACATATTCTTCAGATTATCAAATCACTGAAGGGGCAGAGAATTGTGGGTTCCTACAATTGCACTCTTCCACCAGTCTGAGCTATCATCTACTTACTGGGCTCTACTTTAAGCTTCATCCTGTTTGACTTTTATTGTAATGTGTTGTTGCCTTTTTTTCTTTTGTCTCACTCTGTTGCCCAGGGTTAAGAGTGGCTCACTGCAGCCTTGAACTCCCCAGCTCAAGCTGTCTTCCCACCCCACCCTCTTAAATAGCTGGGACTATAGGCACACATACACCACCACGCCCAGCTATTTTTTAAATTTTTGTGAAGACCAGAGGTCTCACTATGTTGCCCAGGCTGGTCTCAAACTCCTGGACTCAAGCCATCCTCCCCACTCTGCCTCCCAAAGTGCTGGGATTACAGTCATGAGCCACCACTCCCCATTGCCCTGTGTTGTTTTAGCTACTCTAGCCATCCAGTTGTTTCTTCCTCTTATTTTCATGGTTTTCTGTTTCTAATTTGTCATGGACCTGGAAACTCGGTAAATAGCTTGTTGGAATTTTGTAGATAACAGGTCCACAGTAAGGCCTAAGAGATTCTTCAGGTGGGTTAGTGGGGAGGTACATATACGCTTTTATGATGTCTTGTTTTTTTACTTCAGAAGCTTTTAAATTTTTCTTCCTGATTCTGGGGTCTTTTGCTGTTACAGGCAAAGAGGCTATATAGATGAACTGTTAGTGAGCTTTGATTTAGTCAGAACATTTTTTTTGTCAGTGTTTAAGCATAAATTCTGTACTTTGGGGCCACCTAATGGTATGTTCGAACTTAATTCCATAAATATAAAATAATTGGAATAAAGGTATTCAAGGTTGGCCTATAAATTGGTGTAAGAATGTTTACACAAGAATTTGAATAATTTGTGACTTTTTTCTTCATTGACTTTTTAAACTTGTGAATAATAAGATTATTTTTTTTTAAAACACAGAACTTCTGCCTCAGAGATTTGCCTATTCTGGACATTTCATGGAAATAGAATTGTACATTATGTGACCATTTGTGACTGACTTGTACTTAGCATAATGTCTTTAAAGTTGTAGCATGTATCAGTACTTCGTTTCTTCATGGCTGGATAACCGTTCCATTGTATGGATATATTATGTCCATTTATCAGTTGATCAACATCTGGTGGTTTCTGCTTTTTGGCTGCTACAAATCATGCTGCCATGAACATGTATAAACCAGATTTCATTTCTCTTGAGTATATACCTAGGAGCGGAACTGCTAGATGATATGGTAATTTTAGGTTTAACTTTGGAGGACCTGCCAGGCAGTTTTCCATAGCAGCTGTACCATTTTGCGTTTCTACCATCAGCGTATGAGGGTTCCAATTGCTCTACATGTTTGCAACACTTACTAACTGTCTTTTTTATTATAGCCTTTCTAGTAAAGTGGTATCTCATTGTGGTTTCGTTTTCATGTATGTTTTTATAAGGCACATTTCAAGTGTTATTTTCCCCAAAATTTTCTTTTAATAGATAAGAAATGATACTTTAACTTTGTGATAGAATTTTTTTTTAATTGTTGATTTCACTTTTCTAACAGGCAAAGGAAATTTTAACAAAAGAATCAAATGTGCAAGAGGTTCGTTGCCCAGTTACGGTCTGTGGAGATGTGCATGGTCAATTTCATGATCTTATGGAACTCTTTAGAATTGGTGGAAAATCACCAGATACAAACTACTTATTCATGGGTGACTATGTAGACAGAGGATATTATTCAGTGGAGACTGTGACTCTTCTTGTAGCATTAAAGGTATGATTATCGAAATTCAGTTGTTGTTTTTTTTTTGGTTGTTGTTTGTTTCTTTGTTTTCAAGATTTAAACCAGGCAAAAGGCAAGAATGTGGATAAAAGGCAAGAATGACAGGATTGCATATCATCTGTTTTATGGTCCATTCAGTTTATAGCCCCTTAAAATAATAATTGGTTTTACATCTTTTTTAAGGAGAGGTGAAAAGGATACATTAACTTGTGTGTATTCCTGGTAAATGTATCATTCTCTTGAGTAATCCATAGCTGAAGTCTTGGGTTACCTGCTATATTGATCATATTGAGTCAAACAGGTCTTTTTAAATCCTTGTTTTGAAAAGTCTATGTTATTCCTGTGTCTTTCTATTTTTACCACACCGTTTATCTCTTCAAAGTTCAATTGTTGCAATAGCTTAGTAACTAGTATTTCTGCCTCTAAGGTCTAATTCTCCTCCCCCACCTCCCCAGTCCACCTGGCATATGCTGGCTGATGAAATCTCTTTTATTTGACACTTTTATATTGTTACTTCCTCTTGGTTGCCTGTTGCCTATAGAATCAAACTCACACTCCTTGCCTGGCCTTCTATACTCTAGTCTGAATTTGCATGCCAGTGGTTGGTAGCATAAATTTCACCTCATATCAAAGTTTCTTATTACTCAGTGCTCTTGACTCTGTTTATTTCCTTATTCGATTTCCCCCATGAGGTTACTCTGTCCCTGATTTCTTAGGCTTTCTGCCAAGACTCAGCTCAGGTCTCTCACTTCTTCCGTGTATCCTTCAACCATTTTAGCTTTATTCCTTCTGCTCTAAATTACTATGAGGAAACTTACTCTCCCAGCCCTTATTTATGCTGCAAAAGGGGCTTATTGCCTTGTATTACTTCTTTTACATATCTCCTCGGTGAGATTAGACCCTCAACAGCAGAACACATATATTACACAGTCATGGGTCGCTTAACTACAGGCATACATTCTGAGAAATGTGTCTTTAGGTGATTTTGTTATCTTGGAATGACGCATTCCAAAAATTTTATCATCTTTCGAACTTAAACCTAGGTGGTATAGCCTACTCCACACCAAGGCTGTGTGGTATACTCTGTTGCTCCAGCCAACATTATACATGTAATCTATTGTTAACAAAAACGTTGCAAGCTCATGACTGTACTTGTGTAGACCTGGCACCTGGCTTTATAGCACCAAACTTTTGTTAGACACGTAACATATGCTTAGTAAAATGCATATGAATTGAAGTCAATACTTGCAGCTTTTTGCTTGATTTGCAGAATCCAGTGCTTTATCATATTTCTTATCAGACACATTCCTGACTAGTTGCTTATGTTTTTGTTTTGTAATAGAAAGGAAACTATTAATACATTTGAAATCTTGCCCAGTTTTGTAAAGGGCCTGTTTTTGTGTTATTATTGGCAAATCCAATTTTCCTGTGGAAAATACAAATTGAAAAGGGAAGAATTTAATCTGTAGAGGACTTTGTCTCAGTTTCAAACCTGTGATTTTCACTGTTCATTCAGCAGTAAGAAGTCATAGTGTTCTGGAAAGATTTAGAAAAGTAATAATAATTTGATGATGAAGATAATAGAAACAGTATCAGATACAAGTTTATTATAGTAATATAAATATTAGTTAAAGGTTTTGATGAGGGTGGTATAAACATGATGAAAAAGGATAACAAACATGTCAAATGTTAACCAGTAAGACCTGGTTATGAATAAGCAAGTTTTTTTATTTTGAAAATGAAATTAACATTTAATTTTACTGGTGGCCTCAAGAGCCATTTTTAAAAATGGATCAGAGACTACTGTGCTTCACATGACACTGGTAAAAATCTGACTTTACTATGTGATTTTATTCCTTTTCTTCCAGGTGCGTTATCCAGAACGCATTACAATATTGAGAGGAAATCACGAAAGCCGACAAATTACTCAAGTATATGGCTTTTATGATGAATGTCTGCGAAAGTATGGGAATGCCAATGTTTGGAAATATTTTACAGATCTCTTTGATTATCTTCCACTTACAGCTTTAGTAGATGGGCAGGTATGTATGTGTGTGCTTACATCTTGGGAGGAAGTAAATGAAGGCAAAGATTGACTATTGGTAAGTTAGGGTTTAGATTTACATGACATGCTTTTCTGCATCTCTTTAGCCTTTTCCTCCTCCTCACCTTATACTTAAAATTTCAAAGCAGGGAAGTGGTAAGTTTCATGTACATTTGGACCAGCAAATTTTCCTGTTGTTCTCAGATATGTGTGTAAATCTTTTGACCAAAGAATATGCTATGTGCTTAAGATATCGATAAACATTATAAATAAATGCTTGACACTGATATATAGTACTAGTAAAGCAAGATGTTTAAAACTTTCTCTGCATATACACATAGTGCTGGTTACCATGAAAAACTTTTCATTCCCGTTTTTCTGGAAATTGCAAGTGTTACATTGTGTATTATACCTTCTTCCGTGAGAAGTGAATGCTTGGCTGGGCACAGTGGCTAGTACGTTGGGAGGCAAAGGCAAAAGGATCGCTTGAGTCCAGGAGTTCAAGACCAGCCTGGACAATGTAGTGAGACCCTGTCTATACAAAAAAATTTAAAAGTTAGCTAGGCGTAGTGGTGTGTGCTTGTGGTTCTAGCTACTCAGGAAGCTGAGGTGAGAGGATCTCTGCAGCTCGGGAAGTTGAGGCTACAGTGAGCCATGATCATACCACTGCTCTCTAGCCTGGGCAACAGCAAAACCCCATCTCAAAGAACAAAAAAAAGGAAAAAGAAGCAAATGCTATGTCTGCCTGTAACAAGTATGGCAGACATACCATGAAGCAGTCAAAGGTATAAAAAGAAATTATGCAAATTTCCTATTATCTCAATTTCTAGAGATAATCACAGTAAGGATGAACTGATTTAAATTTAAATACAGGGCCAGGCGCAGTGGCTCAAGCCTGTAATCCCAGCACTTTGGGAGGCTGAGGCAGCTGGATCACGCGGTCAAGAGATCGAGACCATCCTGGTCAACATGGTGAAACCCCGTCTCTACTAAAAATACAAAAAATTAGCTGGGCATGGTGGCATGTGCCTGTAATCCCAGCTACTCAGGAGGCTGAGGCAGGAGAATTGCCTGAACCCAGGAGGCGGAGGTTGCGGTGAACCGAGATCGCGCCATTGCACTCCAGCCTGGGTAACAAGAGCGAAACTCCGTCTCAAAAAAAAAAAATTAAATACAAAACATAGGCTGGGCAAGGTGGCTCATGCCTGTAATCTCAGCACTTTGGGTGGCCAAGATGGGCAGATGACCTGAGATTTGGAGTTAAGACCAGCCTGGCCAACATGGAGAAACCCCATCTCTACCAAAAATACAAAAATTAGCCAGGCATGGCGGTGCACACCTGTAGTCCCAGCTACTTGAGAGGCTGAGGCAGGAGAATCACTTGAACCTGGGAGGCAGAGGTTGCAGTGAGCTGAGATCGCTTCACTGCACTCCAGCTTGGGTGACAGAGCAAGGATCCATCTCAAAAAATAAATAAATATAAAACATATAATAAAATGCTATAATTCTTAAATTATAAAAAATCCATTATAATTATTAATTATCTAATTAATTATAAAAGTTGTCAAGAATGTAATAAATTCTCTCTTAGACTGCTCATGGGAATATAATTTGGTTATAACCTTCTCTAATTCTGACAGTCTGTTTTCTCAGCCATGATTTTAGACACTGCCCTGATTAATTTGAAAGGACAATACTTTGCATAGACTTGTTAAAAGAAAATGTGAATTTGAAAGATGTTAAATTTTAATTAAGGTTGTTTTTAATTGTTTTGAAGCAACATAGTCTTCATTAGTAGAGCTTTTGTGTATTTTTTACTTCCTCCACTCCTCTCTTTCTTCCTTTTGCTCTTTCTGAAAAGTTATTAGAAAAGAAATAATAGTGGACAAAACTGATCTAGAAGAAAACAGGGAGGACACAAAGCTCTAGGAATGTAATAAGGTATGATTATAACTGTACAGAAGCTCGTGTATCACAAGAATAGGTGCAGCTTTACTGCACTACAATCGAAAAGCTGAATGATGCTTACTATAGTAAAATACCAGTTATTAAAATTGGCTTGCAGAAATTAGTCCAATATAAGTAAACTACTAATAGTAACCAGGTCTAGATAGTTGTATAGGCTAATTCTACCAAACCTATAAGGAACATACAATTTCTGTGTTCTAGAACTTGGGAAAACATGGAGAGTTCAAAACTCACACTGTATGCCTAGTATAACCCCAGTGCCAAACCAGATGTGGCACGTACAGAAAAATAAAATCATATCAAAATCATTTGGGAAAAAAAAAATTCCTATACTTATGATTCAAAGCTCAGCAGTTATTTTATAAAATATAATAAGTGGGTAAAGAAATGCTGGTTTTACTATCAGTAAAACATTGGATCCTTCTCATCAGGACTCATGCCTATAATCTCAGCACTTTGGTGGGAGGCTGATGTGGGCAGATCACCTGAGGTTGGGAGTTTCAGACCAGCCTGACCAACATGGAAAAAACCTGGCTCTTCTAAAAACATGCCTATAATCCCAGCTATTCAAGAGGCTGAGGCAGGAGAATTGCTTGAACCCAGGAGGTAGAGGTTGTGGTGAGCCGAGATCTTACCATTGCACTCCAGCCTGGGCAACAAAAGCAAAACTACACCTCAAAAAAAAAGAAGAAAAGAAAAAGAGAAAGAAAATGCTCGTTAAAACTTGGGTTATTCTGACTCAGAATACCTTGAGCATAGTATTGTGGTATTTGTTATTCTGATTCAGAACACGTAGAACGTAGTATTTGAAAACAGTTTACAAAAAACAAAAGATTTGTATTATTCTATTTTGTTTTAGAAGTCCTGGCCAATGCACTGAGCAATAAAAGGAATTAAAAGGTATAAACATTGAGAAGAAACAACAAAATATTTTTACAAATGACTTGATTATGTACTTATAAAATATGAGAAAACTGAAAATTTATTGTAGCCAGTAACAGGAATCAGAGTGTTTGCTGTAAGAGAAAGAAAAAATTGTAGAGCTCAGCAATAACCCACAGAAGCTGTAAGCGCAGTTGGGTGCAGTGGCATGCTCCTGTAATCCCAGCTTCTCAGGGGGCCAAGGCGGGAGCATTGCTTGGGCCCAGGAGTTCATGGCTGCATTGCACTGTGATCGTGCCTGTGAATAGCCACTGCACCCCATCCTCAGCAACACAGCAATACTCCATCACTATAGAAAGAAAGAAAATGAAATTTTATGGCAGTTCCCAAGGATGGGAATACCATTGACCAGAGAAGGGGGAAGGAACGCCATATAAAATATTTAGGATTATAAAGAAAAACAGATGGACAAAATATGTTTAAATGTTGGCACTATTTGAACAGACACTTTTAATCATTACTCTCTGTTAACTTTTAGCAATTAGTAAAGCAAACACATTCCCTTTTGTTAATTCATAAACAGATATTCTGCCTCCATGGTGGCCTCTCTCCATCCATAGACACACTGGATCATATAAGAGCCCTGGATCGTTTACAGGAAGTTCCTCATGAGGTAAGCTTAGTTTAAAAAAGAAGAAAGGAAAACAAAATATAACCACATTGTGAGGAAGATAAAGTGTGACTGGTAGTAATTTGTAACATGTACTTAATTTTATTGGCCAGGGCCCAATGTGTGATCTGTTATGGTCAGATCCAGATGATCGTGGTGGATGGGGTATTTCACCACGTGGTGCTGGCTACACATTTGGACAAGACATTTCTGAAACCTTTAACCATGCCAATGGTCTCACACTGGTTTCTCGTGCCCACCAGCTTGTAATGGAGGTATGTACTTTCCTTATAGAATGATTTTTACTTCAAATTAATATGTATTTCTGTAATAAAGCATCATGGCTTAACTAAGAAACATTCCTTACCATTTATTACCAATCTGAAAAGAGGAAAAACTTGCTAGTTTTAGCAAGTAGGGAAAGCACTGGTACCCCAGAGCAGAATTATAACACATTTTTGAAATTGAGACTTAGAAAAAAGTTACAAAAATAGTACCCCAAAATTCCCTGCATGCTTTATTCAAATTCCTGATGCTAAATATTTTACTGTATTTGCTTTATCATTTTGTATCTCCTTTCCTCTTCATTCCTCACACTTTCTTCTGAACCATTTGACTCTCTGTTGCAGACAAGTACTCATTTACTCCCAGTTTTCTATGTATATTTCGTAGAATCAAGGACTCGCTGTCACATAACCACCATATAGTTATTACAGTTGGGAAATTTGTGTTCATAGAGTACTGTTATTTAATATGAACACTTTACTCAAATTTTGCTAATTATCTCGCTAATTTCTTTCATAGCAAAATTTAATTTTGTGCATACTGTATGTGCGTAATCTGATCCAAAGAGTAGGTTGTGTTCATTCTACTGTGATGTGGAAATCCTGATTTTTTTTGTTGTTGTTTTCCCTATTATTTTTTTTTTTGAGACGGAGTTTTGCTCTTGTTACCCAGGCTGGAGTGCAATGGCGCGATCTCAGCTCACCGCAACCTCTGCTTCCTGGGTTCAGGCAATTCTCCTGCCTCAGCCTTCTGAGTAGCTGGGATTACAGGCACACACTACCATGCCCAGATAATTTTTTGTATTTTTAGTAGAGATGGGGTTTCACCATGTTGACCAGGATGGTCTCGATCTCTTGACCTCATGATCCACCCACCTCGGCCTCCCAAAGTGCTGGGATTACAGGCTTGAGCCACCGCGCCTGGCCTGTTTTCCATATTCTTGACATTTTGGAAGAGTAAGAGCATTTTATCTGACAGAAATACCCTCAGGTAGAGTTTGACTGATGTTTCCTTGCAGTTAAGGAGTCATCGTATGCATTTTTGGCAGTCTTGCCATACCAAGATGGTGTGTCCTTTTCCATGCATCATATCAAAGCACATTTGAAATGTCAAATCTGCTTGTGTCAGTTCTGGTGGTGGTAACTTTAATTGCTTAGTTAAGATGATGTCAGCCAGGCGCAGTGGGTCACACCTGTAACCCCAGCACTTTGGGAGGCCAAGGCAGGTGAATCATGAGGTCAAGAGATCAACACCATCCTGGCCAACATGGTAAACCCCTTCTCTACTAAAAATACAGAAAAAATTAGCTGAGCCTGGTGGCACGTGCCTGTAGTCCAAGCTACTCAGGAAGCTGAGCCAGGACAATTACTTGAACCCAGGAGGCGGAAGTTGCAGTGAGCTGAGATTGCACCACTGCCTTCTAGCCTGGCGACAGAGCAAGACTCCCTCTTGGGAAGCAAAAAAGGATGATGTCTGCTAAATTTCTCCATTATCATATTAACTGTTTTACAATTACTAAGGGAATATAAAAGGAACATAAGCCCTCCAGACTAGTAGGGAGTAGCTTCAAGATGTTAGAGAAAACTTTACCTGCCCAGTAGAGACAAAGAGAAAGGGTGTAAGCATGATAAATAATGCAAATTTATATAGTAAAAATAAATTTAATGATACCAGTGATCATAAGAAATAGACTAAAATTTTAGCCTAAAAGAGACTCTCAGATTGAATAAATAATTAAAATTCAGCTGTTACTTGGGATACACCTAAAACATAAATGACTGGCTGGACAAAGTGGCTTACACCCATAATCCCAGCACTTTGGGAAGCTGAGGTGGGAGGATCTCTTGAGCCCAGGAGTTTCGGACCAGCCTGGGCAACATAATGAAACCTCATCTCTCTAAAAAAAGTCAAAACCTTAGCTGGGCATGGTGGCATATGTCTGTTGTCCCAGCTACTTGGGAGGCTGAGGTGAGAGGGTCACTTAAGGCCAGGAGGTTGAAGCTGCAGTGAGCTATGATCATACCACTGCACTCCAGCCTGGGCAACAGAATGAGACCTTGTCTCAAGAAAAAAAAAAAAAGACACCACAAACTGGAGGTAACAGTTAGAAAATGGTGTGTTAGTGTATAAAGTAGATAATCAAAATAGCAAATAGGCCAGGTGCGGTGGCTCATGCCTGTAATCCGAGCACTTTAGGAGACTGAGGTGGGCGGATTGCTTGAGCTCAGGAGTTCAAGAGACCCCGTCTCTACTACTAAATACAAAAAATAAGCCTAGTGTGGCGGCATGCGCCTACAGTCCCAGCTACTCAGGAAGCTGAGGCAGGAGAATTGCTTGAACCCGGGAGGCGAAAGTTGCAGTGAGCCTAGATCACACCAATTCACTCCAGCCTGGGCCATGGGGGGGGGGGGGGGCGGTGTGTGTGTGTGTGTGTGTGTGTGTGTGTGTGTGTGTGTATGGATGAGATAGGTTCTGATAAAAGGCATTGTTAGAAATAAAAAGATTATTGATGAAAACTGGCCCAGTTCTCTAGGGAGAAAGTATTTTAAATTTGTGTTTACCTAGTAGTAGCTTCAAAATATATAAAGCAAAAATTGACATAAGGGAAAATTAAGAAATGTATTATGATTTTGGGAAAAAATTTAGTACACAGCCTTGCCAAGATCTCAAGCATAGATAAGGCAAAACAACAATAAGCGAGCTGCATTTAACAAAACCCTGGGCCCAAGAATTGCACAGCATTCTGTATAGGTACACAAACTGTTAAAGATGGAGCCCTCATAAACTAATGTAGACCGACTACATTTCCACAGAGGGTACTTGTAGTTTTTGAATTTAGTTTTTTTAAATGTGTTTGTGTCAGAATCCTAATACTGTAATGAAATGTTGAATTTGTTTTTATACTGCAGGGATACAATTGGTGTCATGATCGGAATGTGGTTACCATTTTCAGTGCACCCAATTACTGTTATCGTTGTGGGAACCAGGCTGCTATCATGGAATTAGATGACACTTTAAAATATTCCTTGTGAGTAACTGTAAATTTTAATTGTATATACTTAATTTCAGAAGGAAAATTTTAAATGTTAGAAATAGATTTCTGCTTCTGAAATGGTAGGATAAGGGCAAATGCCCTCCCCAGCAAAAGCAGCCATTGGCTGGAGAATATTATTTTAAAAATAATTTTTCAAAGCTTTTGGAAATTGTCCTAAGGGCATATCGTAGATGGAGAAACAGTTAATTCAAAAAGACCTACTAAATCTCAGTAATAGTAATAGTAGTCTTAGCATTTGAGCTATGACTTGCTCCCTCCAAATCCTCCCAGATTCCTCTCACAGAAATGACTACAGGTGCTCTACTCTGGGTGGGTATAGTCAGGAAGCTAAGGGATCCCCCTCTTCACCCAGTGTTGGAGCTGTGGTTTCACTCCCAGAGATCAGATGCCAGCTCTCTTAGTCTGGAGTTACCGAAGCTCTACTCCTGGTAGATGCCATCAAGCAGGCTGAGGCCCCCTCCCTGACCCAGCTCCTGAACCAGAAGCTGTGCTCCAGGCATGGACGGCAGATGAGAATGCTGGGTTTCCCAATGCTGTTACCCTAGCACCTGCTCATAAACCAGATGGTATCCCTGAGTATCCCTGAGTGGCACAGAAGTTCTGCTCAGGAGGAAAGTCAGGTCACAGAAGTTCTTCAGCTCTGCCTTTGAGGACTTACCTTACTTAGATGATGGAGAATTCCAAATCTGAGTGCTTTGTGGCAAACAGTGGATGTCATGGTGGAGACCAATTAAAAGGGCTGTTATAGCACCCATGATACTAGGAGCGACATGCAAAAGAGCAGAGCAACAAGTTCTTCAACAGATAGCACCAGGGAAAAAGCCAAGAAAAGCCCTTCTGGGATTACAGTCATCTCTGGGGGACAGGAAGGCTGTGCACAGGCACTAGCCATAGCCACTCAGGAGCAGTCAGAGTAGGATGTGGGTTATTCTGTGAGATTCTCAAGCCAGACATAGATTGTACTGAGTTGAATAATGTCCCCCCAGACATAGATTGTACTGAGTTGAATAATGTCTCCCCCAAAAGAAAAAAATTTCATATCCACCTAGAACCTGAAAATGAGATGCTATTTGGAAATAGGATCTTTGCAGATATAATTATTAAAGATTAGATTATACTGGATTGGAGTGGGCCTAAATCCAATCCGAATGGCATTTTAGTAAGACGAAAAGAAACACACAGGGGAGAATGCTGTGTGAAGCCAGAGATTCAAGTGATGCATCCACCAGCCAGGGATTGCCAGAGCCACCAGAAGCTGGGGAGAGGCTAGGAAGGATTTTTCCTAGAGCCTTCAGAGAGAGCATGGCCCTGACAGCACCTTAGTTTCAGAGTGGTAGCCTCCAGAACTCTGAGAGGATAAATCCCTGTTGTATAAGCTGTACAGTTTGGTAATTTGTTATGGCAGCCCTGGGGAATGGATAAGTAGACTGATCAACAAATGGTGTAACCCTCACTGGTGTGTGAGGCTTAAACACAACCTCTAATCATTGACTGAATAATCAATTACTCTGACCCAGGAGCACCTCCTAGGAAGCCAGGCTTTAAAATAAAATCACCGTCATCCCTGACAGTCTGGCAGCATATGTGCATGCCCAAGGTTACATCCTCTCTGGACTGAGTGGAAAAGGACGATCCAAGCTATTAGTCCCTGGCTGAATGGGAAGCCAAAATGTAAACTCCTTCAGCTTCAATAGCAATCTGCAAGTCACATAACATTTCCAGTGGTCATTAGGGTGAGCTTTAAGATCTAACTGGCCAAGGGAACTTAAGTACAACCTTTATCAGTAAGTGGCTTATGCGCGTACCCAAAGACAGCCTCTCAGTAACCAGGCTGAAAGATTAAAACAGGCCAGGTGCAGTGGCTTATGCCTGTAATCCCAGCACTTTGGGAGACCAAGGCGGGCAGATCACCTGAGGTCAGGGGTTCAAGACCAGCTGGACCAACATGGAGAAATTCTATCTCTATTATAACTACAAAATTAGCCTGGCATGGTGGTGCCTGCCTGTAATCCCAGCTACTCGGGAGGCTGAGGCAGGAGAATCACTTGAACCCAGGAAGTGGAGGTTGCGGTGAGCTGAGATCACACCATTGCACTCCAGCCTGGGCAACAAGAGCAAAATTCCATCTGAAAAAAAAAAAACCCCCAAGTAAAAACATCTGAACAGGGCTGCAGGGGCTGTACACTGTTGGGGAAGTGGACTTAACAGCTAAGGCACTAAACAAAAATTAAAATAAACCACCAAAAAAACAAGATCAGTCCCCAGTGACCTGAATTCCAGAGTTAACTGCAATATATTATCTTTAATGTCCCATTTTTATGGAAGGAACAAGAAGGTATGACCTCTACACAAGGAAAAACTAAGCAATAGAAACTGTTTCTCGGCGGGGCACGGTGGCTCAAGCCTGTAATCCCAGCACTTTGGGAGGCCGAGGCAGGTGGATCATGAGGTCAAGAGATCGAGACCATCCTGGTCAACATGGTGGAACCCCGTCTCCACTAAAAATACAAAAATTAGCTGGGCATCGTGGCGCGCATGCCTGTAATCCCAGCTACTCAGGAGGCTGAGGCAGGAGAATTGGCTGAACCCAGGAGGCGGAGCTTGCGGTGAGTTGAGATCACACCATTGCACTCCAGCCTAGGTAACTAGAGCAAAAACTCCGTCTCAAAAAAAGAAACTGTTTCTCTTGAATAGAACAACTAGGCAGGAGAACAAGGCAATAGAAGAGACTTGAGCAACACTGTAAACTGTATGCCTGACATCTATAACAACAACAGCAGAATACATTCCTCTCAAGTAAACATGAAACATGTTACATGCTAGACTATAAAAGATGTCTCATTTGACCGTGTGTGGTGGCTCACACCTGTAATTCCAGCACTTTGGGAGGCTGAGGCAGGCGGATCACAAGGTCAGGAGATTGAGACCATCCTGGCTAACATGATGAAACCCCATCTCTACTAAAAATACAAGAAATTAGCCTGGTGTTGTGGCACGTTCTTGTAGTTCCAGCTACTCAGGAGGCTGAGGCAGAATTGCTTGAACCTGGGAGGCAGAGGTTGCAGTGAGCCCAGATCATGCCACTACACTACAGCCTGGGCAACACCTAAGACCCTGTCTCAGAAATAAATAAATAAACAATAAAGATTTCAAATTAGTAACCTAACTTTATACCTGAAGACCTAGAAAAAGCAGAGTAAACTAAACCTGGTGTAAGCTTATGAAACGAAGTTTAGGGTAGAAGTAAATGAAATAAACAGTAGAAAATCATTAGAGAGCAATCAATAAAACCCTAAGTTGATTCTTTGAAAAGCCTTAACTAGACTGGCCAAGAAAAAAAGGAATAAAGACATTACCAAATCACTAGAGACCTTACTGAAATAAAAAGGATTATAAGGGAATACAGTAAGTAACTGTAGGCCAACAAATTAAGTGACTGAGATAAAATGGGCAAATTCCTAAAAAGAAACTACTGAAACTAACTCAAGAAATATGAGATCTGCATGACCTTTTAAATGTGAACATAGGGGGCCAGTGTGGTGGTTCATACCTGTAAATCCCAGCTTTGGGAGGCCAAGCCAAGAGGATTGCTTGAGGCCAGGAGTTTGAGACCAGCCTAGACGACATAGCAGGACCTTGTCTCTATTTAATTTAAAAGAATATAAATAAATTACTAAAAAATTAAAACTCCCCACAAATAAAAGCCCAGGTCCAATTGACTTCACTGATGAAGTCCACCAAGTATTTAAAAAAGGAATTGGCCAGGTATGGTGGCTCTCACCAGAAATCCTAGCACTTTGGGAGGCCAAGGCAGGCAGATTAAGTCCAGGATTCAAAACCAGCCTAGGTATCATGGCAAAATCCTGTATCTACAAAGAAGACAAAATTAACCAAGTCTGGTAGCTCAGCCTATAGTCCCAGCTATTCAGGAAGCTGAGGTGGGAGGGTCAGCGGAGCCCAGGGAGGTGGAGGCTGCAGTGAACTATGATCACACCACTGGACTCCAGCTTGGGCAGCAGAGTGAGACCCTGTCTCAAAAATAAAATAAAAAGGAATTAATGCCAAACCTTCACAAACACTTCCAAAAAACAGAAGAGGAGGACTACTTGGTTCATCCTGTCAGACCTGCATTATTACCCATGATACCAAAAGTTAGACAAAGGCAAAAAAAAAAAAAGACCAGTATTTGTTACAAATACAAATAAATGGCCAGGCACAGTGGCTCATGTGGGAGGCTCAGGCAGGTGGATCACCTGAGGTCAGGAGTTCGAGACCAGCCTGACCAACATGGAGAAACCCCATCTGTACTGAAAATGCAAAAAATTAGCCTGGCCTTGTGGCACATGCCTGTAATCCTAGCTACTCTGGAGGCTGAGGCAGGAGAATCGCTTGAACCTGAGAGGCAGAGGTTGCCGATTTGTGCCATTACACTCCAGCCTGGGCTCAAGAGTGAAACTCCATCTCGAAAAAAAAGAATGCAGACATAAAATGTTTCAACATACATACCAGCAGCCTGCATCCAGCAATATATAAAAAAAGATTATATACCATGAGCAAGTGGGATTTATCCCAGGAATGCCAGGTTGGTTCAAAACATGGAAATCAATATAGTAAACTATATTAATATAAAGGGATTTAAAACACCATGATCATCTCAGCAGAGGCACAAAAAGCAATTGGAAAAACTCACCATCCTTTCATAACAGAAACACTCAAGAAAACAGTCATGCAGGGGAACTTCCTCAACCTGATAAAGGATATCTCAAAACCCACACTAACTTCATACTTCCTGGTGAACGACTGAATGCTTCTCCCTAAAATCTGGTATAAGAAGCATGTTTATTCTCACTACTTTTAAATAATAATAATTGATATTATTAAAGAATATTCATTACTGTTTATAATTATTTAAACTTATTTAATCTTTGTTTAAGCTTTTTAATAACATTTAAAAGTTGTTCCAGGCATCAAACCAGACATTCTGTCTTCTTAAATTTTCATGATAGCCCCATGAAGCAGACAGTGGGGATGGGAGCATCTGCAGTGACTTACCCCTGGTCATTCCAGCCGTAGGTGATGTAGAGTCGTGGTGGGAAAGCAGGACTGCTGTTTCTGCTCCAGTGTCTTGTTCTTTATTCATTTGTTTGTTTTGCAAAGTCAAATCCTTTATTTGCTTCCCCTTTTTTTTTTTTTTTTTTTTTTTTGCCATTTACAGCCTTCAGTTTGACCCAGCGCCCCGTCGTGGCGAGCCTCATGTTACACGGCGCACCCCAGACTACTTCCTATAAATTTCTCCTGGGAAACCTGCCTTTGTATGTGGAAGTATACCTGGCTTTTTAAATATATGTATTTAAAAACAAAAAGCAACAGTAATCTATGTGTTTCTGTAACAAATTGGGATCTGTCTTGGCATTAAACCACATCATGGACCAAATGTGCCATACTAATGATGAGCATTTAGCACAATTTGAGACTGAAATTTAGTACACTATGTTCTAGATAGGTCAGTCTAACAGTTTGCCTGCTGTACTTATAGTAACCATTTTCCTCTGGACTGTTCAACCAAAAAAGGTAACTAACTGCTTCATCTCCTTTTGCGCTTATTTGGAAATTTTAGTTATAGTGTTTAACTGGCATGGATTAATAGAGTCGGAGTTTTATTTTTTTTAAAAATTCACAAACTAACGTCCACTAATCCATTATCCTTTATTCTATTGAAATATATAATTAACTGAAGAAAAGGTTCTTCTTGGGAGTATGTTGTCATAACATTTAAAGAGATTTTCCTTCATTTAAACTAAATTACTGTTTTATGTTGATCTGCATATTTCTGTATATTTGTCATGACAGTGCTTGCATCCTATTTGGTGTACTCAGCAAATAAACTTTTCATTTTAAACAAAAACATTCATGTATTGTGTTGTGCGTTAAATGAAAACTTTTTTCTCTTTTTAGACTGGGTCTTGCTCTGTCATCTAGGCTGGAGTAGAGTAGCACAATCGTAGCTCGCTTCAACCTTGAACTCCTGGCCTTAAGCCGTCCTCCTACCTTAGCCTCCTGAGTAGCTGGGACTACAGTCAACATACCACCACACCCAGCTAATTTTTAAAAATGTTTTTGTAGTGAAGGGATCTTGCTATGTTGCCCAGACTGGTCTCAAACTCCTGGCCTCCAGTGGCCCTCCCAAAGCATTGAGATTACAGGTGTATACCTGGCCCACGATCTTGAAATGACAAAATCTCTTGAAGCAGGGCAGTAGGACATGGCTATAGTCCCAGCTACTCAGGAGGCTGAGGTGAGAGGATAGCTTGAACCCAGGAGTTTGAGAGGAGCCTGGGCAACATAGCAAGATCCCATCTCCAAAAAATAAAAAATAGGCTGGGCATGGTGCCTCATGCCTGTAATCCCATTGCTTTGGGAGGCCAAGCTGGGAGGATTGCTTGAGCTCATGAGTTTCAGACCTGCCTGGGCAACACAGTGTGACTCCATCTCTAAATTTTTTAAACATTTTTTTAAATAAAACATAAACCTCTCAACTTGAAATAAACAGTTGTGCTGAGGAAATTTGTTTGTGATATTCTTTGTACAGGAGTTATTTTCAGAAGAAATTCAAATAGCTGATAATTTTTAGACCATAAAAAAGCCATTCTAAAAATTATATTAGGTAATTTATATTAATGTCACATTTTTAAGTACAGCTGTGATTATATACTAAAACTAGAATATAACTGGGAAGAAACTTTAAAAAAACTAAAATACATTAACTTTTTTTTTTTTTGAGACAGGTTCTCACAGTCACAACTCACTGCAGCCTTGACCTTCTGGACTCAGTTGATTCTCCAACCTTAGTCTCCCAATTAGTTGGGAGTACAGGCCTGTGCCACCACGCCCAGCTAATTTTTTTATTTTTATAGAGATAGGGTTTCACCATGTTGCCCAAGCTTGTCTCGAACTGCCGAGCTCAAGCAATCTGCCCCCTTGGCCTCCCAAAATGCTGGGATTATAGGCATGTGCCACTGCACCCCACCTGGAGTGGCTATCTTAAAATAGACTTTATGACAAAATGTAATAGTTAAGACTGGGGGTGCTTGTAGTTCCAGCTACTCAGGAGGCTGAGGCAGAAGGATCCCTTGAGTCCAGGAGTTTGAGACCAGCCTGGGGCAACATAGACCTCATCTTGACAAAAACTTAAAAAATTAGCCAAGTGTGGCTGTAGTCTCAGCTACTTGGGAGGCTGAGATGGAAGGATGGTTTGAGCCCTGGAGGTCAAGGCTGCAATGAGTAGTGATTGCACCATTGCATTCCAGCCTGGGCAACAGCGAGACCCTGTCTCTTAAAAAAAAAAAAAAAAAATTAAAAATGAAAGGACAAACTAAAAGAAAGTATTTGCGGCTCACGGGAAGCCAAGGCAGGTGGATCACGAGGTCAAGAGATCGCAACCACTCTGGCCAACATGGCAAAACCCCATCTCTATTAAAAATACAAAAACTAGGGGAGGGATAGCCTGGGGAGAAATGCCAAATGTGGGTGAAGGGGAGAAGGAAAGAAAAGCACACTGCCATGTGTGTTCCTACGCAACTGTCTTACATGTTCTGCTCATGTACCCCAAAACCTAAAATCCAATAAAAAAAAAAACACTTCAAAAACAAGTCAAAAAAAAAAAATACAAAAACTAGCTGGGTGTGGTGGTGCACACCTGTAGTCCCAGCTACTCAGGAGGCTGAGGCAGGAGAGGCTTGAACCTGGGAGACGAAGGTTGCAGTGAGCTGAGATCACACCACTGCACTCCAGCCTGGTGACAGAGCCAGACTCCATCTCAAAAAAAAAATATTTGCAAAACCTGTATCTCATAAGTGACTTGTATCCCAAATTTCAAAAGAACTCATACCACTCAATAAGACCCAATCAGGACATGGGCAAAAGATATGAACAGACATTTTACCAAAGAAAATCTGCAGATCTAACCAGTATGTGAGAAGATCAACATTAGGGAAATGTAAACTAAAAGTAAACAGATGCCGTTTCACACCTATTAGGCTATGATAAGCCTTTTTCAAGCAAATAATGAACGTTGGTGAGAATGTGGGGAAATTAGAGTCCTCATACACTACTGTCAAAAATAAATGAGTCCGGGCATGGTGGCTCACACCTGTAATCTTAGCACTCTGAAGAAGCCGAAGCGGGTAGATCACCTGAGTTCAGGAGTTTGAGACCAGCCTGACCATGGTGAAACTTCGTCTCTACTAAAAATGCAAAAATCAGCCAGGCGTAGTGGCACATGCCTGTAATTCCAGCTACTCGGGAGGCTGAGACAGGAGAATTGCTTGAACCCAGGAGTCAGGGGTTGTGGTGAGCCAAGATCATGCCACTGCACTCCAGCACTCCAGTCTGGGTGACAGAGCATTATCTATATCTATATGTGTATATATATATATGTATGTATGTGTGTGTATATATATATACTTTTTTTTTTTTTTTTTTTTTTTTTTAAATGGTGCAGCTACTTTGGGAAACTGTTGGCAGCATTTTAAACACACAGTTGCCCCATGGCCAAGCAATTCCACTACCATGTATCTGTCCAAGAGAAAATACATATTTGCAGGCTGGGTGTAGTGGCTCACACCTGTAATCCAAGCACTTTGGAGGCAAAGGCGGATGGATCACCTGAGGTCGGGAGTTCAAAACCAGCCTGACCAACATGGTGAAACCCCGTCTTAAAAAAAAAGAAAAGGAAAGGAAAATACATATTTGCACAAAGACTTACATTGTAAATGTTCATAGTAACTTTAGTTATAATAACCAAAAATTGAAAATAGCCTAAGTGTTTCTAATGGACACATCAACTGTTGAATGGGTAGCCAGGAATGTGTTATATCCACACCATGGCAAGCTGCTTACAATTAAAAGAATGAACTGATAAATATGACATGGAGGAACTTCAGTACATGGTAATGAAAAAGCTGCACAAGGCTGGGCATGGTGGCTTACACCTGTAATCCCAGCACTTTGGGAAGCAGAGGCAGGTGGATCACAAAGGAGTTTGAGACCAGCATTGCTGGCCAACATCGTGAAACCCCATCTCTACTAAAAATACAAAAATTAGCTGGGTGTGGTGGCGCATGCCTGTAATCCCAGTTACTCAGGAGGCTGAGGCAGGAGAATTGCTTGAACCTGGGAGGGGGAGGTTTCAGTGAGCTGAGATCGCACCTCCAGCCTGGGCGACAGAGCAAGACTCTGTCTCAAAAAAAGAAAAAAAAAAAAACTGAGGGCCGGGCACGGTGGCTCACACTTGTAATTCCAGCACTTTGGGAGGCCGAGGCGGGTGGATCACGAGGTCAAGAGATCGACACCATCCTGGCCAACATGATGACACCCTGTCTTACTAAGAAATACAAAAATTAGCTGGGCATGGTGGCATGTGCCTGTTGTCCCAGCTACTCGGGAGGCCGAGGCAGGAGAATTGCTTGAACCTGGGAGGTGGAGGTTACAGTGAGCTGAGATCACGCCACTGCACTCCAGCCTGGCTCCTGGAAACAAAGCGAGACTTTGTCAAAAAAAAAAAAAGCATTATTTTACTAGGTATAAAATGCTATCATTACCCATAGAATCAAAGCCCATCCACCTCCAATTCCACTAATCGTTTGACCACTGTCACCTTGTGCGTATGGTATGGTTGATGTGCTGGGGTTTTCTTGGGCGCTCCTGCTCCCTCTTCAGCAATCCTTGCACCCGTGCATTCAAGGGAGGTCCTTCATGCTTTCACCCCTTCTCTAGCTGGAGACTGCTGCTGTGTATCACTCAGTGCTGGGCTTATGGTAGGAGCAGGTGAGGTTCTCTGTTGTCACAATTCAGCCTCAATCTTGGGCTGGCTCTTTGTGCTTTTTCTTTTTCTCTTTTTTTTTTTCTTCTGAAATGGAGTCTTGCTCTGTCACCCAGGCGGGAGTGCAAGACCTCGGCTCACTGCACAACCTCTGATTCCCAGGTTCAAGCGATTCTCCTGCCTCAGCCTACTGAGTAGCTGGGTTACAGGCGTGCACCACCATGCCCAGCTCAATTTTGTATGTTTAGTAGAGACAGGGTTTCACTATGTTGTCCAGACTGGTCACAAACTTCTGACCTCTGGTGATCCAACCACCTCACCCTCCCAAAGTGCTGGAATTACAGGCATGAGCCACCATGTCCAGCCTGTGCTTTGGTTTTCAAGGTAAAGTTTTCTGGGCATTCTTGCTCTTCCTACCTGTGGCAGCCAAACTCTGCCTTGTGTCTGTGGTTGTTACAGGGTGGGAGTTTTCGGCCCCATTCCCAGCAAGAGTAGATATCTGTTTGGTATCTGTATCCACCCTTCCCTCCCAGGTAGAGAATTTTTGCCTTGACCTTTTTCCGGCAGCAATAATCTTTGCCTGAGTCCTGAGAGAAGCAGATGGGTTCTGTTTTGGTTTTGTTTTGTTTTGTTTTGTCTGCCTCTGTTCCTTCTCCAGAGACAATAGATCTGCCAGTGCCTGGCAGGCCATAGTACTTGCTGTACTTTCCCCAGCAGGTTAAGACCTTGGCTTGGTAGGAGAGAAGGGTCTGGGGAAGCCAGTGGAGCTTTGCGCTTATTGCCCTACAGCCACCAGTCACCTCTTTGTTTGCCCTGAAGCTGGCTTTCTCTGGTCTCCTGCCCTTTCTCACTCCTCCTGAACACCTAGTAAAGGCTGATGAGGAAGAACTTTCTTTCTTTTTGTTTTTTGAGATGGAGTCTCACTCTGTTCCCAGGCTGTAGTTCAGTGGCTCGATCTTGGCGCACTGCAACCTCTGACTCCCGGGTTCAAGTGATTCACCTGCCTCAGCCTTCTGAGTAACTTGGACTACAGGCACATGCCACCACACCCAGCTAATTTTTTGTATTTTTAATAGAGATGAGGT